CAGCAGCTGTTTACTGTGGATTTAAATGACTACAAGATTTGTCCTGTGAAAAGATTTCAATTTTTCCATCACAGAAGATGCTAACTGGTTTAGCTCAGAGTACTGCTTCATAGATCCAGAGGCACTGAGTGCAGGGCCAAGGAGGACTTCTGTTGATGGGAGGGTGAGCAATTATAGCTCTGAATTTGATACAGACGCTAATGGTGATGGGGATTTCAGGAATGGGAATGATGGTCTTCAGCTTGATGATTCGGATGCCAGGCATCCTAGAATGAAGCCATTAAGAGTACAGCCTGTGAAGAAGCAAGGGGAGACAATATCAAAAGGACATAAGAATTATGAACTCATGCTTAATTTACAGTTGGGAATCAGGTATATGTATTTTTATGTTGCCTCTTGTATGTTTGAATTGCCCAATACAACTGTTAAGAATGATTTCGGTTGCTGTGTATTTGTTAAAGAGGAAGAAAATCACGGTATTAAAGATAAAGTAAATCAAAGTATTAAAGAGGAATAAAATTATGATATTAAGGAGGAAATAAATCAATGTGCTAAAGAGAAAATAAAAAAACTGGTATTAAAGAGGAAGAAAATCAGAGAGTTAAAAGAGGAAATAAGTGAGAGTAGAAATGAAGCAAATCAAATTAAAGGATAAAATTATGTGATTTGTAATTTATTGTTTATTTCATTTGCTGTTCTAGAAAACCTGTATATATAAAGCTATAATATTTAATGAAATGCACATCAATCAAAACCATCCTTAACAAAAGCAAAGTTACACGAAATGTTTCTTACCATACTTCTAGTTCAGTTTTGTGTTTAAGTGATTTTTGGAAAGCATTAAAGCAGAAACGTTTCGCAAACATATTCTTGTTTCCTTCGTGTTGATTACCCAATATACTATGTTGTCCCATTTGGGAACGCAATAGACCTTACACTTATATATTATCTCTTTGGATAAATAAGATGAATAGATAAGATCTTTACTTATGTTAGTCATTGCTAATAGTTCTTGTGGCAAAATTTTCCCAACAAAAATCATTTTGCAAGAGTCTTCTGCTGAGAATTTTCTGGTCTTCTTGAAAACTGGTTTATGGTGTCATTGTGCAGACATTCTGTTGGAAGACCTGCTCCAGCCACCTCTCTTGACTTGAAGGCATCTGCCTTCGATCCGAAGGAGAAAGTATGGACTAAATTTCCACCGGAAGGATCCAAGCATACTCCACCTCATCAGTCCTGTGAGTTCAAATGGAAGGACTACTGTCCGGTGGTCTTTAGGTCAGGGCTTGAACCATTATCCTGTATCGTTATAGATTTGTGGTGTTGTTAAGGTTGATTCTGGGTAATGATAAGAAAAAATCCTTTCAAATTGCATTTGGAGACAACAAGAAAAACAAATATTTGTCTTGCATTTTATTGGATTGTTCATTGTATATTCATAGTTTTCTGTAATTCTACAGGACCCTCAGGAAGTTGTTCAATGTGGATGCAGCTGATTACATGTTATCAATATGTGGAAACGATGCACTACGGGAACTGTCATCCCCTGGGAAGAGTGGAAGCTTTTTCTACTTAACTAATGATGATAGATACATGATAAAGACTATGAAGAAGGCAGAAGTTAAAGTGAGTGTCAAATGAATTTTGTTGTACACCATACTTTCACTTAGCATTTTTCACAAGCATGCTAAGAACTTTTCCAAAGCTGAGAATTTTCATTGTTCATGCTTCAAAATTCTCATTGGATGATTAGAATTTGTCCTTTATGATTCAGTTTTTCACAAGTTATCAACTTCTTCTACATTCTTTAATTGCTTATGAGTTTGGATGCTTGATAAATTTCTTTTTTCTTCTAAAATTGAATATCCACTGCTTTT